TAAATCATTGCTGGGGTGACAGTATTGATTCAAACAAATTATCAAGTAATTTTAAGGGCTGACAAGTGTTGAATCATAGGCATATTACATTCTCTTCTATGATCTTATTGATGTGAGGTTGTTGAATTATCTGTGATTTTTATCCCCTCAGTTTTTGTATATTTGGCAGTTTTATCCTACGCATAAGTTGTACTACTCCTACATTGCACCACTGTGGAAATTGGTGTCAGCTTTGTAAGAATTAATATTTATTTTGTGAACGGTTCTTGCATTATACTGAAGTATTACTTCAGGTTTCCCTATACAAATTTTATTCCCATTAGTAAGAACTACTACTTCTCTTCCACCATAAATGTGTGTACGTTGTTGGTATGTAAATTTTTCATCATCTGTTACCACAGCAGATACTCAGTTTTTGAAACGATGCCAGAAAGTGCAATGTATAAAATGTACATTTTTTTCTCCAGTATGGCACTACTCCATTGATCTGGGCAGCAAGAAAAGGTCACCTGGAATGTGTGAAGTTTCTGCTGCATATGGGAGCAGATGTTGATCAAGAAGGAGCAGTGAGTATTTTCAAAATTATGATAAAGTAATTTCTATTTTTAAAAAATATCAAACAATAGAATTTGAAAGGTGAGCATGGTAAAACTAAATCCTTTCCTTCAGGTGTCACCTATTTTAGCAACCATTTCTCCTCAAAGGCAAATTTCTTTTGGCTTTTCCTTTCCCTGAACAGTTTCCATCCCAACAAGAAATGTTGCCTGAGTTTGCTTTAATATTATACCTTTTAGTGCCTTAAAGCTGAGAGTTGGATTACTCTTTTTATTGTTATTAGTAACTCTGGAGCATATTTGCCTTAAGAGCAGACTAAATATGCTTTCAACCAGCTTTCTAGATATAATCAAATCATATTAGGAGATATTTGGTTATTTAATTCTAAGATCCTAGTGCTTTCATATCCTCTGGTATTTTACTGCTGAAATTCTCAGTCTTTCAGTTTAAAAGGGAAATGTCTGAAAAACTGCACATGGCTGCTTGTAGTGTATTATTGAGCAGAGAATAGCATGATTGAAATAATGCCACATTTATTAACAGGTAATACTGCTCTGCTGTTTTCTGCTAGGCCTCAGTAAACTTCTAAGCTGCAGTAGAAGGGAGGGGAACTTTAGATTATACAGATAGTGCTCAGCCCCCATCATGGTCAGTGATCCAAATATAGGGATCTGTAGTCCAGCAATATTTGGAAGTTATGTGTTCCTGCTTCTTCTGCTGAAGAGGACAGAAAAACATCCTGAATATCTCCTAAACTGGTGTAGATCAGTCTGTGTGCAGAAGATCCTAGCTGCTGCCATAGTCACATCTACATTCTTGTCATTATTGAGACCAACAAATAATTGTGGTTCTTGCATGTTGCAGTTACAGCTGGGACAGTAGAGAGCCAGTTAGTTGGACTGCTCGAAAATGCTTGAAAATGTTGATCTGGCTCATGTTGTGGAATTGCTGAAACCTGCCGTCTTCTAAAAATAGGAGATTGCTTTTGATTAAAAAGTGATATGAAATGTGATGAATATTTTTGAAATAGAAGTAGCTTGCTAATAAATCCCTGTCATTCTTTTTTCTTGACCCCAGAATTCTATGACTGCTCTTATTGTGGCAGTAAAAGGTGGATTTACAGATTCAGTGAAAGAAATTCTGAAAAGAAACCCAAATGTGAACTTAACAGATAAAGATGGAAACACAGCTTTGATGATTGCTGCAAAGGAGGGTCACACAGAAATAGTACAGGACCTTCTAGATGCAGGAACATACGTGAATATCCCTGATAGGGTAAGCACATGTTAATGTACTCACATTTTTTCCTTTATGTCTAATGTAAACTACAAATAATATCTCACCATGTGTCTTCTCTCCTCATTGCAGAGTGGAGATACTGTCCTGATTGGAGCTGTCAGAGGTGGGCATGTTGAAATTGTGAGAGCTCTGCTTCATAAGTATGCAGATATTGACATTAGAGGTCAGGTAAGTAATGTTATGTTTAGTTCTATATTTCGGAATGCATCTGGTTCAACCTTCTGCTTAATGCATAGTCTCTAACTAAAGCATCCCCAGCCTCTTTATGAAGGCATCTTCGTGAAGAGAGCTTCCATCTCTTTGCTTGATAATTGGTTCCATTCCTAAACTGCTCTTACTGTCAAGAAGTCCCTTTTAAGGTTTAATCAAAACCTACTTTCCAGTGCCTTCAAACCATTAGACCTGGTCTCACCCTCTGGAGCAGCAGAGAACAAGCTTGTCCTCTCATCTCAGTGTTGAAAGCTTTAATCTATCTTAATGCACTAAATGATTTTTTTTGTTTTTTTTTACATTGCAACTGGTAAAATAACTTAAATAGAAAAAATATCTTAGGTGGTTTTAAAAGTTGATTTGACATTGAAGTGCTAATCAGAATTGTGTATTTTTTCATAGGATAATAAAACTGCTTTATATTGGGCTGTTGAGAAGGGAAATGCTACAATGGTGAGAGATATCTTGCAGTGCAATCCAGACACTGAAATATGTACAAAGGTAAATATATTGTTCTTGATTTTGTCTCCTAAAAATACCAATATGCATGTTTTTTTTCACATGTTCCTATACTGCTAAATAAAGCAATATGACTATGTGTTTGTGATGGTGGAAGAAACCATGGATCAGGACAAAATTAGTTTTAAATTGTTTTTCAGTACTAATGATGACCTTAGAAAAGTGTGGTCAGGGGACCATTGATGTGCATATTAGAATAACTTACCAACTGGTTCCTGTCACTTTTTGTAAAATATTATCTTGCCTTCTTAGCTTTATTTTTTACCAAATTCAAAATACAGAAATATGAAATTTAGAAAATACTTAACACACAAATTAACACAACACACCAGTTGTTGCCAAACATCCATATCTGGAAAACCTAAGTAATATTTATAAAAATAATTCTAAAATATTAATTCATCATGTTTCGTTGGAAAGCATTTAAAACAGAAAGCATGTATTCATGCTTCTCTGTCAAAAACAAAGATATTTCCTTCATAGAAAGATCCCATATAGCAGGGCTTCTTAAACTTTTTCCACTCACAGCCCCTGATGGCCCAGGAAATTTTTATGTGACCCTTGGTATATAACATGAGTATAAGAAGTAAACATTTACTGATAATAAATCAGCATTTGGAAGACTTGCTGTACAGGCTGATTTTTGTTTTTATGTAGTACAGCTGAAGCATTTTCTGCAGAGTACACTGTAAACACTGCATTTTTCTGCCAACAGATTCAGGTAAATGTCTAAAACAGCCAGCAGGTGACATTCAATAGCCTTTTACTGTTGGCAGATTTTTCAGGATCCCAACACTGAGCTAAGGGGACTTCATTTGGGGTTGGGACCTACATTTTAAGAAGCAATGCCATATACAAACAGAGTGTTTATGTTAAATAATTCTAGACATTAAATCATTAAAATAGCTAAGGCAAACTAAGAGAATCAGTCGCAACTGAAAACATAATAGAGGTTTATACAAAAAGAAGCCCCATTTTGGTTACTGAGACATTTCATAATAACTTTGAGTAGGATAGTTGCTTAAAAGGAGTATCTTAGATTTGTTATGTGGTACTGAGTATCTGCATTAGAGGCAGCCTCATAGACTAGCAAATCTGATCAAAATGGAATAGACGCTTCAAATTCATTACATTCATTATTCACATCAAGATTTAAAGTTGAATTATATATTTTTGTCATGAAATATATGAAGGCAAAATATAGGAAGGCAAAATATTGCTGAAAGTCTATCTAATCCTGAAGCACTCACTTAGTATTTTTCTGCTTTTGCTTTTAGGATGGAGAAACACCTCTTATAAAGGCTACCAAGATGAGGAACATTGAAATAGTTGAGCTTCTGCTTGACAAAGGCGCAAAAGTTTCTGCTGTAGATAAGGTACACTCTTGTTGACAACTGCTTTATTTAAAGATAGTTTAAAATCAGCTCAGGTGCAGAGAGAAATTTCACCATGTGTATTGAGATGGACGGACCTTTTGGAAAGAAACTTAACAAAATAACTTTGTTCTTTCAGAAACTAAATTAGCCAACTGTTGAAGCATGCTAATTGTAGAAATTATCCCAATGAAAGTTCTGGTCATAAAGTTTATAGGGCCAAATTGAAAGGAATGTGATGTATTAAATTTTGAGTAATGAAACTGTTTTGTAATAAAACACTTTGATTTACATCTTTTAACGTTATGGTGATTGTTACAGAAAGGGGATACTCCACTTCATATTGCTATTCGTGGAAGAAGCCGAAGGCTTGCAGAGCTGCTTTTAAGAAATCCTAAAGATGGCAGGCTGCTTTACAGGCCTAATAAAGCTGGAGAGACACCTTACAACATTGACTGTAGCCACCAGAAAAGTATTTTAACACAGATATTTGGTGCTAGTAAGTATTAAGCAATTTCAAAAAATATATCTAACTTCAGTTACTTTCAGGAACATGTTGGATTGAACAAGAAAAAATATAACTTATGTGAAGTTTGAGTACTCATGTGCTTCTGTGCACAGTTCAGATTTGAAAGACAGAACAGTAGTTCTCTGGTTGGTGCAGAAGAGCACTCCATGTCAAATGATTTACATCAGAAGGCAGGAGTCATTAGCTTTCTTTCTGTAAGCCCTTGTCTCTTGGTTTTTATTTTCCCGCCCTGCTTTTAAAGTCAGATGTTCTTTGTCTCCCTCTCCAGTACTTCCCTTTCATGCTAAAAATCTATTCATTTTGCTTTGCTTTCTCTCCTGTATTTTTCATTTCATTTGTACTCCCTTTCTTTGCCTTTTCTCATCAACTCCAGCTTGCTGTACAGTCTGGAACTGTGGTTAAGATTTTAACTTTCACTAGTTTCCAACAAGCGGGCTTTGAAAAAACACAGTTTGACATTGATTTGTTTGAAACTAATGTCAACCACATTTTGTTTGGCTTGGAAAGCACAACGAAGTACAGCTGAATAAAAGCTGATTTTAAGCTTCTGAATTCTACTTATCCCATGGAAAGAGAAAGGCAACATGCAATTTTAGGTGGAATCTAAATTTGATTACATCTTCACAAACAAACAACTAAGGTCATAGGAATAAGTTTACCTTTTTATCTTACTTTTTTCATTTAAACTGCTAGTGAGCTGTAACTTTCTTATACGATCTTTCTTTAACTATCTTCTTTGTGATACTGTAATTTATGGGTCACATTTGTCAGTAGAACTGCTTATGCAAGTATGAAGTAATAAACATAGATTAATTCCAGGAGTTCTCCAAGTGCTGTGTTTTACTGAAATGATCATTTTCAAATAATCTCATTAAAGAGCCTGGCAAAAGAGTATAAGCTGTCTCCAAGTTAAGAACAAGATAGGTTCTGTAGGTTTATTCTTAACTTGCATTTGTTTGAAAGTCAGAATAGGTAATTTTTTTCTTTGTAACTGCAGCCAAAAATATTTTTTAAGCTTTGGATTGCAAAGGGAAAGGTTAACACCCTTATGGTTTTTATTTTGTTATCTATGCCCCTGTTCAGAAGATTTCACTGCACTTTCTGTCCCTGTGAAAATTGGAGTTTGAAAAATTTGTCTTGTGGAATCAAGGATTGGTGATAATTCTTCAGTGGGATACACCTTTTCACCATAATAACTGTTTCAGGAGTGAATTTCCTTTCTAAGGGTAGATTTCTCTCACTTCCTCTTGTCTCAGCCCCGTTCTTAGCTATGAGTCAATTGTAAGTCAGATATTTGTAACTCTGGGACTGCCTGTACCTGGATTGTAGGCTAAGGAATAATTTTTGAATAACAGATTATACATAACATGTATAGGTTATTTAAGTTCTTACTGTTGGTTACTCTGTTTGTTATTAAGTTTAGAGTTAGGTTGCTCTTATATTGTTTAATATGGTTTGTCCTGATGTAATCTGTCTGAATGTTTTTTCTCTCTTTTGGCATTGAATGTTTGCCATGTATGTTGGAACCCGCCCTGAGTCCCCTTGGGAAGGTAGGGTGGTCTACAAATAAAGATGATGATGATGATTATTATTATTACTAGGAGAAACAAAAATAATCCAGAAAAGGTGAATAAACCTTATGTGGAAAATAATATCTGAAAAAAAGCAGTGTAAAAACGATGCTGCACTTTTGCTCAGAAGTAGTACAGAAAAACAAACATACAATACAGTTGCCTATACATCATTGAACTTATATTTAGCAAGCTGGCCATGGGTTGCTGTTGATGAATGAACACAAAACATAGACTTGTAACATGTTTATTTTATGAAGCGTTCTGATGTTGCAGGACATTTATCTCCCACGGAAACTGATGGAGATATGCTGGGCTATGATCTCTACAGCAGCGCACTAGCAGATATTCTTAGTGAACCGACTATGCAGCCACCCATCTGTGTTGGACTTTATGCCCAATGGGGAAGTGGGAAATCATTTTTGCTCAAGAAACTTGAAGGTAAAATTTAGTTCAAATATTTATTGTCATCATTCCTTAGTTAATAAAGCACAATATAGTTAGGTTTTGGCATTACAGTTTGGTCTTTAATTCCAAGGGACGAAATAATGGGCTTTGAGATTTTGTGTTGATAGAATTTCTTTCTCTCTTTTTATAGATGAAATGAAGACTTTTGCTGGACAGCAGATTGAACCATTGTTCCAGTTCTCCTGGCTTATTGTGTTCCTTACATTTCTATTGTGTGGAGGTGTTGGCTTATTGCTTGCATTCACTGTAGATGCCAAACTTGGAATTGCAGTTTCACTGAGTTTACTGGCACTACTATACGTATTCTTTAGTAAGTCTTATTTTCAGTCAGACTGAGTGAAATTCTATGTATTTATAATTGAACTCAAAAGTTTGTATACAAAGTGAAACCAAATATGTGTGTGTGTGCCTTCAGATCACTTGTCGACTTATGATGCCATGAAATTTATAGGGTTTTCTTAGTAAACAAATACCAGTTCCTTCTTCTGAAATATAGCGTATAACACCTGGTATTCATTGGTGGTTTCCTGTCTAAATAATACATAGGACTGACCCTGCTTAGTTTCCAAGATCAGACATGATCTTGTGCCTGATCAGGAGCTAAACTCCACTCATGGGAGGTCTAACCAAATGTATTAAGAGAGTTAAAACATTTGTAACAATCAATTTTAGATA